TTTGGTATCAAAAAAGGAACGTCCAGATCTGGGGTTTCTAATGCTGTCTAAATTGTCTATGAAAGCAACCCGCTTTTCTGATCTGCTCTGTATAGGATGCTTCTTGGACATCCTTTTGCTTTGCAAGTGAAAATGGCTTTGAAGAAGTGAGGAAGGAATGGGACCATCTGTTTCTTTTCAATTAATTTCACCTCTGCGTGGATCTTTCCCACCGTGTTAGTTTTTTTATTTTGTTAGGCAGAGGCTTCTGAACCTGTGCCAGCTACTGTCTCTGCTTTGAAGGGCGTGCGGCTAATCTAAAACCACTCCAGTGACTCGATTTAAAGCCTGGGTTAGTGTCCCCTGAACTTGAAACCAGCTGTGTTGTTAATGGATCCCTCTTCCTTAAGCAAATCAGCGAAGAGAAGATTGAGCGTCGATGTTTTCAAGCCCAACGCCGGCTTGCCCTTGCTTAGGCCTCTGTTTCTGCCATCTCCCAGCCCTGCTTTCATTCCTATTCGTAGAAGTCCTTTTTCCTTTGTTAAATCTGTTTTGTGTTGCCTTTTTTTTTTAATTCCCATTTGTTAAGTTGTTAATTGCAGAACGAAGAGCCCACAAAGACCTTTCTGTTCCAGTTGCCAGGAATGGCGCATTCCCCGTAACAAATGGCACGGCAGACTGTAGGTGGGCTGCACTGTAGGTGGGCTGTAAAAGTTTGGATCAGATCAAGAAAGCTGTGCATCTTCTTAGCTTAGAAACACAAAAGTAGATCATTTCCAGAAAATAGGCAACTTGTTCAAGGGTGCAGAAACAATTGCTATACACCTATTACATGACCGTGTGCCTAATGCTTACCACTATTCCCATTCACAGAACTCCTTTTGAAGGCAACTGGGATTTCACACGTTGTGTTTTGTACTTATCTAGTTATGTATTTCAGCTTTTTTACGCAGTGTAACTTTCTCATCAGTTCAACCAATGCAGAACCTACCTACCTTGAGGGAGTATGCAACTAAACATGCAGAAATACGTTCCTAGCAGATTCTTGTAATGTCACCAAGGGCCTGTTGTAAATGAAGCAAGCGTGAGATTGAAAGTCTGCTGAAAACAGTGGAAGGGCTCTCATTGACTTGTTTGGATTTGGCTTCATATTTTGAAGAATTCAGTTAAGACATGATTCTGAATGTTTCTAATCACTTGAGATTCCAGTTGACACCAGGTTGCAAGCCTGGCCCAGTTGAAGTTTATACGAATTTTGGCCCTCAGCGTGACATCAGGGTTTTACTATATAATTGGAATTCTTTGGGGATTTTTCAATGAGATGGTATTTCGTTGGAAAAGGTCGTTTAATTGAAAGTGAACTTTCTGGTGGAAACGTGCCGGTGTCTGTTAGGAAGGTTATCTCGGGGCCAGGGTAGAATTTCCTGTCCACTTGAAAAAGATCAATAGTAAGCTGGGAAGAGCACCTGGAATAGGCTGCTGGGTAGGTCTGTGGATCACCGAGTTCAGGTCCCTGCTCTGCCACTTCCCGACATCCAGGCTAAGTGCCCTGATCACCAATCTATTGTCTTTCCTGGGCTGGGTCTCTTTCGTTCTCTCTCTGTTGAGGCTGTTGTACTTTGGGAACCTTTTCCCCCCAGCTCTACTCGTGTCCTCCGAAGTTCAGAGCGCTCCTGATCAGGATCTAGCCGCTCACTAAGGTCATCGAGTGTGTTCTGCAGCTGCCTCAATTATTCTGATAGAAGAACTGAAATCATTACATAACTGCGCATGAATTTGTCCACTTCTGCAAATGTATGTGGCAATATTATTATTTTCAGTTTTGCACAGAATACAGAATTGCAGAAAAGTGTTTCCCCGAAGTGTGAGACTGGCGTGAAATAGCTGCCGTGGAATCTGCGTCGGACAGCGAGGCCACATCTTCAGACTTGCGTGCGTGAACTTCAGTCTATATTTAGGCATCTCAATAGAAAGCCTGCCTTTCAGAGACACAGAGCAGCTGCAGCTCCTTTGAAATGAGCAGAGTTCGCTGACACCGGGGAGAGTGGAGGGTGCCCTGCATTCTGGTTTGGCAGGTAGAGATTCAAAAGTGCTCTTTTGCATGAGGTTCAGTCTTTCAGGGCTGAACCTCCCCTCCCCATAAGCATCAGCTGTTTAACCTATTAGTTAAAAATAGCATAGAATTCATTCTGAATCCACTACTTTTTGTCAGGCATCTGTGTCGTCTTAAGCGGTGCCACAGCTATCGGCTGCCATCCCACACAGAGCGCCAGATGCGGAGATTATTGCTTGGTGGCAGTAATGCCAGGCTTCTGCAGCATCTAGACTAGTCAAACGGAAGGACTTCTGATGTCCTCGCCTTATAGGTCTGCAGTGCTGTAGGTGAACGTAGCCCTTTGCAAAGCACGGAAAAGCAAGCTCGTGCCCTTCTGTAGAGTTCACAGTCCGAGGTGCAGCTACCCACCTGACAATGAAGGATCACTTATGAAAGCAGGAATAGAAAGGGAAAAGGCAAGCCCAGTAGATTATTTATATTACAGTGGTCCCTAGTTCACAACTAAGACTTGGGCCTATTGTGCTAGGCAGCAGGTAGATATGTAACAAGAGACATCTGCCGAAGCATTTGTAAGTAGGAAGATGAGACACTAGGTGGGAGAAAAGTGGCTTTTTCCATAATTTGTAGACCAGGGGTTTTCGACCTTTTTTAATAAGCGTACCCCTGGTGGCTGGATATGGAGTGGGAGGAGTTGGGGGCTGGTGTGCATCCAGATGTGGAATGGTGGCAGTGTGGGGTGCTGGATGGTGGTGATGGACGGTCCCTGTGTGGCCTGCAGAGGGCTGCTGCCACCTTCACCCTGCCCCAGCCCGGCCCTGCTCCTGGGAGGTGGTGGCACGAGGTGGTGGGTGGCAGTGCTCCGTCCCCGCCTGCCTGTGTATACCCCTTAGGGCCTTCCCAAGTACCCCCTGTTGTAGATAATAGAGTGACTATACTGTAGTTCTGGATGGATGGTCTTTTATACATTTCCCAAAGCTGTTTAAAGTGAAAGATAATTTTTTTTAATGCCTTTGCCCCTTACAAGCAATTTTTTCAGAGAGCATTTTGGGACTCCTATACACGTGCAGAATGAGTCAAGTCTGCTGGAGCATGGTCATTACCTCACTCCAGCAGACTTCGGTGACATGTGTATCAGCGTCCCCACACTGAAAAATGATGGCAGGGGCGCTTTAAACTAAAGTTCGTTTGACAAGCTTGAGTTCAAAACCCCCCGCCGGCATTTTTCAGAGCAGGGACGCTGATACACCCCATGTTCTTTGATAAATGCGGTTCTCGGAGCTGCGCTAATTAAAGCCCCCCTCCCCCTGCCTCTTGGAGCACGTCTATAAATGCCTTTAATGCAGAAGGAGGCTGGATTTGCAAACACACTCACACAGATATGTAGGGTCCAATGAATTGGGGAGGGTTTAAGTGTGATGTGCGCTGCGTTGGTGACTGAGCATCATGTGAGGCCTCCGCTGGGTGGTGCTGTCACTGAAATCAGCAGCGCCCACTTCCAAGTGTGCTCGCAGGGAACTGCGGCAGTGCCTGGGCTTCTTACAATACATGCTTTCTCTCCACTTAAGCTGTTTAAATTAGCAGGCTATCAACTGAAGTGGTTTAAAACAAATGAGTAGTAGAGACCTACCTAAGTCGCAGTGAGACGACAGGTTTTTCATGGCCCACTTGTGGTGTGCAGAGCCGATTTCGTGGGTGTTTCACGGCGGCCCCGCTCCTCACTGCTGATTGGCAGAGGGGCCCCAGGGGCTCTGCCCCTTGCTGCTAATTGGCAAACGGTGCCTTCGCTCAGTCTACAGCACTACCGTTTTTTCCCCCCGCCCCTCACTGCTGGTTGGTGGAGGGTGCCTTTACTCAGGCTACCTCACTGCCATTTTTTGAATGATTTCTTGGGCCAATACTAGGTTTCCTGGCGTTTGCGCACAGCGCTGTTTTTCATGGTTTCCACAACATACTCAAAACCGCGATTTAGGTAGGTCCCTAACAGGGAGAGGCTGTGACAAATCTTAGGTTAGGCCATGCCCGCTTGTCTCATCATTGATTTCAACAGCTGATTTCTTATTTTTAACTTTTATTTTAATCATTGATGTAAAAAAACCGAAAAATTACCAATAGATGGCTGCCTTTCTTCAAAGTTTTATGCCAGGTATTGCAAGTTCATGTCTCTTGCATTCAGAACTACTGGCCTGCAATCCTGGTCCAGTTCCCCCACCTGGGAACTCATTGGGCGATTGTATGTGGGTCCCACCATACGTTCAAATTCCCCTGGTTTGAGTAGGTTACAAGCACTGGTTCTTTCCAGGACCTCTGGCATAGTCCTCAGGCTGAACCTTCTGGTACCACAGGCCAGATGAATGGCACAGGGCTGGTCTGTGGCCTGGATCAGGCCCCGTGCTGCCTCCAGCCAGCCCCGCACACCCAGATTGAGCTCTGCACAGCCTCAGCCAGACTGTGCACCTGGATCAACCCTGCACACTGGGATTGAGCCCTGTGCTACCTCCACCCAGCCCCGCAGGTCCGGATCAGGCTTTTGCTTTTATGCCAGCAATGTTAAGACAGTTGTCGTTTTTTCCTTAAAAAGACAATCCCCTTTGCTTAAGAACCCAATCTGACAAATACGTTTCTTGGTTTAGCATTGTAAATCTCAATGAAATGATATTTGAAATTACTCTTAAATTAAGAAAGCCAGTTTGCACAGAGAGTAAATGCTCAGCTACTTGGCTAATTGTTTTGTAGAATTTAAAAAATGTCCCTGGGAATTGTATGTACAAGAAAAGAATCTCCTTATTGTTGTCTGAAGGGTGAATGGAGGAAACACGAGTCAAAGCCACGATTCCAGACTGTACAATTTAATTTTTGGAAGGCTTTCAAATCGCACTTGAATTTCCATTGAAGAATTAATGATCATGGATTCTTTCTCAGCTTATCCTGGACTATGTCTTCTTCTCTGTGTTTTTTTTTTTTCCAGACTGCTGCGGGAACAATGGATCAAAGCCAAATATGAAAGAAAAGAATTCATTTACAGTGAGAAACAAGAACCTTATTCAGCAGGTAGTGAAAGAATTTTTTGGTAGATGATTTTTACTGTGTCCAATAGCTGCTATTTCCTTTCTATGCTCTCATTTACAAAAGAAGAAAAACATCTTTACATTGTTAAACCTTACCCTTCCTTAGCCAAGACGGAAAAGTATGACTAAAGGCTTTTGGGAGTGATGGGGGCTGGAGGTCTGATCCAAATGCAAAATCAATGGGATTGCTTTCCATTACCTTCAGCAGGCTTTGGATCAGGCAGTGAGCAGCGACTACAGTGAAATTTTGGATACTTTCTGTTAGCTGGATGTGTTAGCAGGAATTAAAATGTAGATAAGGAATTTATCTCGTCAAGGTGAATTTCCTTTGGACTAATGATGTGGGATTATCGATTCCCTTGGTATTGTTGCACTGTCTTTGCAAACGAGTATTTTGGGGCAATTATGTCAAAATTGTTTTTCATGCTAAGCGACAGCCTTTTTTTCTCTCTGTGTGTTAAGGATCAAAAATCCATCAGATTTAAAAATCATTAAATGCGAGTTGGTTTTTTTCTTTTTAAGAGAAGAAATGTGGGTTATTATTTGGGGTCATTATTTAGAGCTGTCACCAGTATAACTAAATCATTTGGGGGGGGGTTTCTTGTTTGCTTTTTGCGGGATTTTGTTTCTTTTGTATATATTTTTTTAAGTGCCGCGTGTCACAAACCCTTGTTAACTCCAAGTCAGCTAGCTGTTGGTTAAGCATGTGCGAGTTGATCCTTCTCCAGTTGCAGGCAGTGGCAAACCCACATGCCATCTATGGGGCATGGTCAAATCCATGACATGATGAGCAGAAGTAGCGTTACACCCCGGCAAGAGCAAGTGCTCTGGTCCATGTTGGTGCATGGAATAAAACAGGCTGCAGTCTTTTTTTAGTGGGAATATTTCTGCAGCAGATGGATCTTGAGAAGAATTTGTTGGAGGGCTTCTTAAGAGGAGGTGTGGAGTTTGGCAAACATTAATTGTGAGGCTGTTCCAAACATAAGGGCTAACATCAAGGAAGGCATGAAATTGGCTGGTTATTCTTGACATGCAAAAGTGGCATTTAATTCATTCTGCATTTAACCTGGTTCCGTTTTTTGTATATACCATGTGTGAGTGACTCTCTGGGATAGCTTTATTAAGGAGGCCCATGTAGCCAATGAAAAGGTTAAAAATATTAATTTCATGCTGCTTGTTGAGGCTAAGTAGGTAGTGCTGGCAGTTTGCTCCTTTTAAAGCCACAATTAAAATCTTGACCTCAAATGTATCCTACTTGTATGGAAAGCACCTGTGCTCAGCTGTCTTATGTGGCATATTGTGATCCGCACACCGTGTGTGTGTGTATTAAATATATATACACATACACATATATAACATCAAAAGTGTAAATGAGCCCATGGGCGGGTGAGATTGTGAAAAGCTACATAGTGAAATTTGACACGTGCTGTTAATGTTAATGGTAGATCTGTAGCCAAAATATCAGTCCATGTGCATCCTGCACCCGCACAATAATGTTTTACTGTCCAGACTATTGCTCATGGGTGTCAAAGCTCAATCAAGGTATTTTAGCAGAGTACTTGGAGCAGATGCCTGATTTTAAGCACCCATGTAAGTCTATTTGACTGCAAGAAGGCTATTCACTTGTTTAAAGTCAAACACGTGATTCGGAGCATTGCTGGGTCGGCTCCAGAGCTTTCTACAAGGAGATTAGAAAAAGGATTCAAATGAGAGAATTTGTAGCTGTTTGTTTTACAAATGTCTGATACCCTCCCTAGTTGTGAAGAGCTGATTATTGGCTATTGGCACAATGGTGCAGTCTTGTTTTGGTTTTTGTTTTTTTTTTTTTTGGGGGGGGGGGGGGGGAGGTCTTTTTAATTTGAAAAAAAGTCAAATATACTGCAGAGACAGATTTCTGCCAAGGGAAAAGTGATTGCAAACACATGCATGTCTTCCTGTTTTGTGCTTGGTGCTTGTATGCGTTCGTTGAAATGCAATTGAGAGAGAACATAGATCATCTGAGATTTTGATCAGCATTAAACATGGGATCTCTGCATATTAGCTGCAAACATTTAACCAGGATTTCTATCCTTGTCTGATTAATGTTTAGTTGTAACTTGGTAATGTGGGTGTAAAGGAGCATTTTAGCCACTTTGTTTTCTCCCAGTTCTGAGGCAGCTGCATGCCAGTTTGGCTGGATGGCACAACTAAGAGCAGCTTAAAAGGCTTCTCTAGATTATACCAGCTGCAATGGCTCCAGCTGCAGCCTGCCCTACCCTGCATCCCAGCCACGCTGTTCTCACTGGCTACAAGGCTGGATGCAGTTAGAGGAGATTCTGCAAAGCTCAGGTGATCTTTTGTGGCAGGTCTTAGCTTAGGGCAACTTTGCTTTGCAGGGTCACACCATAGGATGTAGGTTTTCATGGCTGACCTCATGGATGTAAGGTGTCTAATATCCCAATTTCCCATCACAAATCCAGGTACTACCACACCAGAGTGTATATTTTCCCCCATTATTTTTCTCCCACATGAAGTTACTTTTTTTGCTCCCATCACCACGTTTGCCAGTTTTCTCACTGTTCTGAATTCCCCGCGGGGTGTTAAGTTGCTAGTTTCTAAGTACGAAACATTTTGCTGCTAATAGAGACGTCGGGATCCATTTCCTGGTGTTTATTGGAAGATTTAATTCCATCTTCCAGTCCCAGAGGCAATTTTGTGCTCTGATATTTCTGCAATCATTGCATGAAAATAAGAAAATACTCATTTCTGTGTTCCAGGCAAGATCCTGTTCTAGCCAGTCTCATAATAAGACCATCTTTTTTTTTTTTTTTTTTGGGGGGGGGGGTTGTAGGGGTTTTTTCTGAAACCTTGGTCAGAAATTCAGCTTATTTCTTTTTTTGAAAAGCCTTTGGGGAGAGACTGTCTAGAGTCTGTAAATGCCAAACAAAAAACTCTTGCAGCCTTACTGACAGTCACAGCTCAGAGGAGTCTCAGGACTGGACTGTCAGATGTTTCGGGTCAGGACGGAGGTGAAGAGGCAGCCCTGTGCAGGGAAGCTTGAACAATCTGGCAGGAGAGAGGCAGGCGGGGAAGCAAGGAGACTGAGGAGTCAGGGCCGCGCAGGGAATGAGGGACTTCTTGCCAGCCCCCTAGAGACCTTGCAAAATACCTGAGCCCACTGTCACCTGGTCCCTTCCCAGGGTCGGTCTGCATGTCTGGGGGAATTTGTCCTTGCAGCCAGAATCAGATGGGACTGCCCCAAGTGCCTTCTGGATGTTTTCTCCACCCATGCCCTCAGAAAACAAGGAGGAGTCTGTTTTGCAGGGCTCAAATCTCATTATCCAATGCAACTCACTTGTATGTTTTTCAGGGATGGGAGGGGGCATCAGATGATTTAGCATCTTGTCTCCAGCATGTACTGCCAAGGATGCTTTATAGAATCATAGAAAATTAAGGCTGGGAAGGACTTCAGGAGGTCACGTCTAGTCTAACCCCCTGCTCAAAGCATGGCCATCCCCAATTATATCAGCCCAGCCAAGGCTTTGTCTAGCTGGGTCTTAAAAGCCTCCAAGGATGGATATTCTGCAACCTCTCTGGGTAACCTGTTCCAGTGTTTTACTACCCTCCTAGTATCCAACCTAAACTTCCCTTTCTGTAACTTGAGACCTTTGCTCCTTGTTCACTTCCCTCGATCTGCTAGCAACGCTCCTGCTAATGCAGCCTGGTATGTCATTAGCCTCTTTTGCAACAAGGGACTGTTAGCTTATATTTAGCTTATTGTGCATGGTAACCCCTAGGACGGGCGGGCAATTATTTTGGGCAGAGGGCCACTTACTGAGTTTTGGCAAGCCATTGAGGGCCGCATGACAGGCAGCCCAGGACAGATGTATATTAATTTTCTAAAATTTTAGGGGCCCTGCGGGCTGGATAGAATGGCGTGGCAGGCCGCATCTGGCCCCCCGGCCGCATTTTGCCCACCCCTGCCCTAGGATCTCCTTTGCAGACCTGCTGCTTAGCCAGTCGGTCCCCAGGCTGTAACAGTACACAGAATTGTTCTGTCCTAATTACAGGACTTTGCACTTGTCTTTCTTGAATCTTGTGACACTTCTTTTGGTCCGGTCCTCCAATTTGTTGAGGTGTCCCTGAATCCTAGCTGTACCCTCCAGCATATCTACCATTTCCCCCCTCCCACTCCCAGCTTGGTGTCATCTGAAAACTTGCTGAGAGTGTACTCCATCTCATCTTCCAGGTTGTTGATGAAGATATAGAACAAAACCAGCCCCAGCAGTGACCCTTGGGGCAAGCCACTTGATACCAGCTGCCAACTAGACATCGAGCCATTGGTTACTACCCTTTCAACCCGGTGTTCCAGCCAGTTTTCAGCTCACCTTACAGTCCATTCATCCATCTAACCCATACTTTCTTAGCTTGCTTGCAAGAATGTTGTGGGCGACCGTATCAGAAGTCTTACTAAAGTGGAAGTACATCACGTCCACTGCTCTCCCCACATCCACAGAGCCAGTCATCTCATAGAAGGCAGTCAGGTTGTCCAGGCATGACTTGCCCCTGGTGAATCCATGGTGACTGTTCCTAGTCACCTTCTTCACCTTCAGGGAAGCCTTTGTCAGCAGCATGTACAAACTTCAGGAATAAGCTGGACTCTCTGTCCAATATAATACGGACACAGATCTAATACCCTTCTGGGCTTTCCCCCACCCGGCTCCCTGTTTACACACCATTGCTTTAGAGCCAGCCGGGCACCAGCATGGTGTGCTAGCCAGATCCGGTGCCAGGGATGCTCACTGAGTTTGGCTCGCTGTTTCCCCTCTAGTGGCTGAAATGCACAGAAAGACTTGGGAGCCTGCTTCTGGGTTGGAGGGAGCAAACATGAGTCTTCCAACTGAGTGGCAGAGGCTTGGTCTTTTCGGTCCAGCCCCTGGTGCTAGCGATTCACCAGGGCACCATGCAACACCTAGAAGGCACTGAAATTCCAGAAAAGGGACTGTGCTGAATGTCCTGCCCCTTCTGCAAGTTTTACATCACAGGCTTTCACGCTCATCATTGCTGAACCCGGCTTTCATCTCGTTGCTCAGAATGGCAGCCTCATTCAAACTCCGCTGGCTTCATTCCTCCACAAGAAGCCTCCTTATCAGCCCCATTGATTTCAGTGTGAGGAGTCAGTTCAAGTTCAGATAGTGCAGGGAGATTAGTAAAACAGTGATTAAATGCTTCAGTGATCCGCTATTGATCCCCCACTACACCTTTTCTCTGTTAGATATGCCATTGGAAACTGAATGGCTCAGAGTTAAACGAGTTGTTCACCCTGGCCAAATGTTATGAGGAAAGCCTTATTTGCAACCCAGTAATTTGGGATAACACTGAAGGGTCTCATTCCTGGTGTTATCAATACAGCATACTGATAACATATCATTATGACAGCATAATGATAATACTCTTTAAGAGTCCTGTATTGGGTGTCTTTCAGCCTGGCTTCAGCCCTTC